GTTTTACTAAACTATGACGTTTTTTTGACATTTTTATGCCTTACTAAACTATGACGTTTTTTGACATTTTTATGCCTCACTATACTATGATGTTTTTTGTGTTTTTCGCCTTACTATACTATGACGATTTATGTTTTACTAAACTATGACGTTTTTTTGACATTTTTATGCCTTACTAAACTATGACGTTTTTTGACATTTTTATGCCTCACTATACTATGATGTTTTTTGTGTTTTTCGCCTTACTATACTATGACGATTTATGTTTTACTAAACTATGACGTTTTTTTGACATTTTTATGCCTTACTAAACTATGACGTTTTTTGACATTTTTATGCCTCACTATACTATGATGTTTTTTGTGTTTTTCGCCTTACTATACTATGACGATTTATGTTTTACTAAACTATGACGTTTTTTTGACATTTTTATGCCTTACTAAACTATGACGTTTTTTGACATTTTTATGCCTCACTATACTATGATGTTTTTTGTGTTTTTCGCCTTACTATACTATGACGATTTATGTTTTACTAAACTATGACGTTTTTTTGACATTTTTATGCCTTACTAAACTATGACGTTTTTTGACATTTTTATGCCTCACTATACTATGATGTTTTTTGTGTTTTTCGCCTTACTATACTATGACGATTTATGTTTTACTAAACTATGACGTTTTTTTGACATTTTTATGCCTTACTAAACTATGACGTTTTTTGACATTTTTATGCCTCACTATACTATGATGTTTTTTGTGTTTTTCGCCTTACTATACTATGACGATTTATGTTTTACTAAACTATGACGTTTTTTTGACATTTTTATGCCTTACTAAACTATGACGTTTTTTGACATTTTTATGCCTCACTATACTATGATGTTTTTTGTGTTTTTCGCCTTACTATACTATGACGATTTATGTTTTACTAAACTATGACGTTTTTTTGACATTTTTATGCCTTACTAAACTATGACGTTTTTTGACATTTTTATGCCTCACTATACTATGATGTTTTTTGTGTTTTTCGCCTTACTATACTATGACGATTTATGTTTTACTAAACTATGACGTTTTTTTGACATTTTTATGCCTTACTAAACTATGACGTTTTTTGACATTTTTATGCCTCACTATACTATGATGTTTTTTGTGTTTTTCGCCTTACTATACTATGACGATTTATGTTTTACTAAACTATGACGTTTTTTTGACATTTTTATGCCTTACTAAACTATGACGTTTTTTGACATTTTTATGCCTCACTATACTATGATGTTTTTTGTGTTTTTCGCCTTACTATACTATGACGATTTATGTTTTACTAAACTATGACGTTTTTTTGACATTTTTATGCCTTACTAAACTATGACGTTTTTTGACATTTTTATGCCTCACTATACTATGATGTTTTTTGTGTTTTTCGCCTTACTATACTATGACGATTTATGTTTTACTAAACTATGACGTTTTTTTGACATTTTTATGCCTTACTAAACTATGACGTTTTTTGACATTTTTATGCCTCACTATACTATGATGTTTTTTGTGTTTTTCGCCTTACTATACTATGACGATTTATGTTTTACTAAACTATGACGTTTTTTTGACATTTTTATGCCTTACTAAACTATGACGTTTTTTGACATTTTTATGCCTCACTATACTATGATGTTTTTTGTGTTTTTCGCCTTACTATACTATGACGATTTATGTTTTACTAAACTATGACGTTTTTTTGACATTTTTATGCCTTACTAAACTATGACGTTTTTTGACATTTTTATGCCTCACTATACTATGATGTTTTTTGTGTTTTTCGCCTTACTATACTATGACGATTTATGTTTTACTAAACTATGACGTTTTTTTGACATTTTTATGCCTTACTAAACTATGACGTTTTTTGACATTTTTATGCCTCACTATACTATGATGTTTTTTGTGTTTTTCGCCTTACTATACTATGACGATTTATGTTTTACTAAACTATGACGTTTTTTTGACATTTTTATGCCTTACTAAACTATGACGTTTTTTGACATTTTTATGCCTCACTATACTATGATGTTTTTTGTGTTTTTCGCCTTACTATACTATGACGATTTATGTTTTACTAAACTATGACGTTTTTTTGACATTTTTATGCCTTACTAAACTATGACGTTTTTTGACATTTTTATGCCTCACTATACTATGATGTTTTTTGTGTTTTTCGCCTTACTATACTATGACGATTTATGTTTTACTAAACTATGACGTTTTTTTGACATTTTTATGCCTTACTAAACTATGACGTTTTTTGACATTTTTATGCCTCACTATACTATGATGTTTTTTGTGTTTTTCGCCTTACTATACTATGACGATTTATGTTTTACTAAACTATGACGTTTTTTTGACATTTTTATGCCTTACTAAACTATGACGTTTTTTGACATTTTTATGCCTCACTATACTATGATGTTTTTTGTGTTTTTCGCCTTACTATACTATGACGATTTATGTTTTACTAAACTATGACGTTTTTTTGACATTTTTATGCCTTACTAAACTATGACGTTTTTTGACATTTTTATGCCTCACTATACTATGATGTTTTTTGTGTTTTTCGCCTTACTATACTATGACGATTTATGTTTTACTAAACTATGACGTTTTTTTGACATTTTTATGCCTTACTAAACTATGACGTTTTTTGACATTTTTATGCCTCACTATACTATGATGTTTTTTGTGTTTTTCGCCTTACTATACTATGACGATTTATGTTTTACTAAACTATGACGTTTTTTTGACATTTTTATGCCTTACTAAACTATGACGTTTTTTGACATTTTTATGCCTCACTATACTATGATGTTTTTTGTGTTTTTCGCCTTACTATACTATGACGATTTATGTTTTACTAAACTATGACGTTTTTTTGACATTTTTATGCCTTACTAAACTATGACGTTTTTTGACATTTTTATGCCTCACTATACTATGATGTTTTTTGTGTTTTTCGCCTTACTATACTATGACGATTTATGTTTTACTAAACTATGACGTTTTTTTGACATTTTTATGCCTTACTAAACTATGACGTTTTTTGACATTTTTATGCCTCACTATACTATGATGTTTTTTGTGTTTTTCGCCTTACTATACTATGACGATTTATGTTTTACTAAACTATGACGTTTTTTTGACATTTTTATGCCTTACTAAACTATGACGTTTTTTGACATTTTTATGCCTCACTATACTATGATGTTTTTTGTGTTTTTCGCCTTACTATACTATGACGATTTATGTTTTACTAAACTATGACGTTTTTTTGACATTTTTATGCCTTACTAAACTATGACGTTTTTTGACATTTTTATGCCTCACTATACTATGATGTTTTTTGTGTTTTTCGCCTTACTATACTATGACGATTTATGTTTTACTAAACTATGACGTTTTTTTGACATTTTTATGCCTTACTAAACTATGACGTTTTTTGACATTTTTATGCCTCACTATACTATGATGTTTTTTGTGTTTTTCGCCTTACTATACTATGACGATTTATGTTTTACTAAACTATGACGTTTTTTTGACATTTTTATGCCTTACTAAACTATGACGTTTTTTGACATTTTTATGCCTCACTATACTATGATGTTTTTTGTGTTTTTCGCCTTACTATACTATGACGATTTATGTTTTACTAAACTATGACGTTTTTTTGACATTTTTATGCCTTACTAAACTATGACGTTTTTTGACATTTTTATGCCTAACTAAACTATGACGTTTTTCAACATTTTTATGCCTTATTATACAATGACGTTTTTTGACATTTTTATGCCTTACTATACTATGAGGTTTTTTGTGTTTTTTCACCTTACTGTACTATGACATTTTTGGATATTTTAAAGCCTTACTATACTATGACATTTTTTCGCCTTACTATACTATGAGGTTTTTTGACATTTTTATGCCTTACTAAACAATGAAGTTTTTTGATGTTTTTACACCTTAGTGTACTATGACGTTTTATGCCTTACTATAATTTGAAGTTTTTTGACTTTCTATGATTTCTTATGCCTTACTGTACTATAACGTTTTATGCCTTATTATAATTTGATGTTTCTTGACATTTTTATTCCTTACTATACCATGACGTTTTTTGACATTTTTTCGCTTCACCATACTATGGCATTTTATGTCTTACTATAGTATGATGTTTTTTGAAATTTTTATGCCTTATATACACATCAAATTTACGCCCCTATATTAAGAGAAATGTTACCATCACCTATAAGAGAATATATTATTATCACATATATACATCCCCTGGATAAATGAAGATGTATGTTTATAACATACATGAAATACCAATAATAAATTGCAAACTTATTAAAATTCCATATGTTTGTATATTATTTTCTTAATAATTTCTTACCAAATTTACACATATATGTCTATCTTTAAATGTACATATTTAATATGAATATATACTGATAGGCTTTGGGATGGATACATATTCATCTAATATATGTGTATAATATAAGCATACATACCTAAACATACATGTTTCTATTAGCTATCCATATATGTAAATATACGATATTGTTCCAATTTGTAACAGGTTCCATATATACCTTTTACATAGGCTACTGTATATACATATATGATTTTACTTCATATGTACATATATTTCATATATGGAAATTCAATACATGTACATTTTTACATTTGTGTATGGGCATTTCTGAATGTAAAATGTTCAGATCTTATTTGACAATAAACCGTTTGGTTGACGGCATTAAATAAACAATCTCTTTGCTTTTGGAGGGGTGGCGGGGTTGTTGTGTCCCTACCAATGTTGAGACCAAACCTACGCCCTTGGTACAGTGCCCTATATTTAATCCATTATACTGTATAATCAGAGTGGGATCTGCTGGTGGCATTTAGAGCTGCACAACTGAACTGTTTGTACTAGATAATGGACCCACACATTCTCACTGAAAATCACAGGAAGGGCACCAGGGTGGTGGAGGGAGGGAGGGACTGTCTCCACCTCACAACGTCTCCAACTCACGTTACCGAGTTATACAGAAGTGATTGAGTCAGCATACAGCCAACCTGAGCCTGCCTCCTCATCCAAAGGTGATAAACCTCAGCTCAGAGACCCATTATGCTCTTTCATCAACATTTCACATCACGCTGAATTTCCGTTACGCACCACCACCTGTGTGCTGATTCACAAATGGGAAGGTGCAGCGGCGTGCCGCAGCTACGCCCGGTCGGTCGGTCGGTGCGGTGAGTGACGGCGGCAGCTGCGGAGCTGGAAGAAAAATCTTCTCATGGGACTTCGTGGTTGTGCAGCGCCTGATCCGGAGGCAACGTGAGGAGCGCACATACCTCTAGAAAAACGGGCGACAACAAGACTGTCCCTCCTGCGCCCGACAGCTGCCGAGGAGCTGAGACCGGTGAGCACCGACCTGTAAGAAAAGGGGCAGCTGGAGAGAGGTAGCACAGCAGATACACCTCTTCAAAGCCAAACGCCTGTAGGTGCGTAGTATGGGAGCACTATGTTGTCCAGGAAAGGAATCATTCCTGAAGATTACTTGCTTACACGTTTGGCTGAAGATGTCCTGCAGCCCAAGTTCAAGGCCAAACCGGGGAAAGCTCGGTTCGTTGCCAAGAATGGCACCTGCAATGTGGCACACACCAACATCCGTGAACAGGGCCGATTCTTGCAGGACGTCTTCACCACTCTCGTGGATTTAAAATGGCTCCACACGATCATCATTTTCACCATGTCCTTCTTGTGCAGCTGGCTTCTTTTCGGGATGATCTGGTGGCTCGTTGCCTTTGCGCACGGCGATTTAGACCAAAGAGGAGACGACTTTGTCCCGTGCGTAACGGACATTCACTCCTTCTCCTCCGCCTTCCTCTTCTCCATAGAGGTCCAGGTGACCATCGGCTTCGGGGGCCGGATGATCACGGAGGAGTGTGTCTCCGCCATCATCATCCTGATCGTGCAGAACATCGTGGGTCTGGTCATTAACGCCATCATGCTCGGCTGCATCTTCATGAAAACTGCGCAGGCCCACCGGCGCGCAGAGACGCTCATTTTCAGCAAGCACGCAGTCATCTCCGTCCGCAACAACAAACTGTGCTTCATGATCCGCATCGGGGATCTGAGGAAAAGCATGATCATCAGCGCCACCGTACGGATGCAGGTGGTCAGGAGAACCACAACCGAGGAGGGCGAGGTGGTGCCTCTAGACCAGATCGACATCCACATGGACAACCCGGTGGGCACCAACGGCGTCTTCCTGGTGTCCCCCCTCATCATCTGTCACGTGATCGACAAGGACAGCCCCCTGTATAACCTTTCAGCCTTTGACCTGCAGCACGAGGACATCGAGGTGATCGTGGTGCTGGAGGGAGTCGTGGAGACTACGGGCATCACCACGCAAGCCAGGACCTCGTACGTGGCGGAGGAGATCCTCTGGGGGCAACGTTTCGTTCCCACGGTCTCCGAGGAGGACGGCATGTACGCGGTGGACTACTCCAAGTTCGGTAACACCATAAAGGTCCCGACACCGTGCTGCAGCGCCAAGAAACTGGATGCGGCAGGTGGCATCGCTCAATTCAAGCTGAACGAGGGCGTCACCTTGCGGGCGTCTGTGAGAAGGCGGCGGTCCGCGGTGGTCCGCAGGACCAGGCTGGAGAGCTAGCAAACTGATGATCCACGTGAACCACGTCTGCCAGCACTTTGTATGATAATTGATTAAGTACGGGGTTAATTAAATAACAGAATCATATTTATTTTATGACGAATATATGGCATGATATGGATTACCTGTAATCAATGATCCACATCACGTTTCTCCACGCAGTGAAAGATATGCACACATCATGATTTTTACTCAGGGTCAGTGTGAAAACGCACAAAGGTTTATGAGATGTGACTGTTAGACAACCTGAAGAGATCTGGAGTCCAGGGTTAAGAGAAAGTCTAGTTTGGATGTGTTTTATCCTTTTTTCAATTAAGTGTGACTGCATATATCTAAAATTAATAAAGGCGATTGCTTCATGTAAAGTGCGTTGTGGATGGAGAGGCCAAATAATGTGACTTTATGAGACAGACTGGTTTGTTTAGTGTTGCATTTCCATGCATAGGCATAGCTGGACTGATTCTGGATTTTTGAAGCCAGTGTCGAAATTTAAAAAAAAAAAAAAATCAATGATCCATTGGATACTTTGATAAGAATCCTGTAAATCTGGTTAGAAAAGAATTATACCTAAACACTGTGAGACAACTTACAGATGGAAAATTTGTAAATGCTGTGGTGAATAAACTGGAATGATGTCACTACTTCTAAATTACCCATTTCACACATTTGGCATTTCTGGACTGCAATTTCTTGTGATTTATCACCACTATACTTCATCTGTATAAGGCTAATAATGACATGATACAATAATGTTTAAATGTCAAAAGCAAAGCAGCTGGGGCCGACGTAACCTGACTTTTTAGTCCCCTAGTATTTCACCCTCATTGCCTGGTTGACTCCCACATCTTTCAAACTTAATCCCCCCAGTTTAACAGTTTTTTTTGTTATAAACATGTAGTCTCCACACTAAAGAGATAACCCTGATCTGTTGTTTTCTCAGACTTGACAAAGCTCTCCTCCAGAAACACAGGAGACGTTATACGACTGCTTTCCCAGGCTGAGTATATAGCCTACTCCATGTGACTAGTAAACTATGTGATAAATTGGTGGAATTTCCCAATAGGAATAGCAACACTTTCATGATGCAACACACAAGACACTTCAGTTTCTCTACACAAACACATACATACAAAAGACACTGACACACAGTGGCATTTCTCTCTTTTATTAGATTATAATCCGCAGAGCTTAAAATATTAAATTGCTTTTAACTTAGTTAATAATTAAAATACATAAAAACGAGAGCCAGAACTGAAGAACCCTGCAAAAAAAAAAAAAAAAAAAAAAAAAAAAAAAAAAAAACAGAATTAAAATAAATAAAAAAAGGGAGAATCATAAACCCATCCTCCTCCACACAGAGGCTATGTCTGACAGAACCCGCTTGCAATTCTTTGTACAGTAAAGTCCAAGCAGACTGTGCATTTTCTATACATGTGTAATGATACCATTATTGTTATTATTTCTGAACTAATTCTCCTCTGATAATCTTTTCAAACAGCAAATTTAAAGGGACAGGTAAAAAACAAAAACCAGAAGATTTTTAGTTTTGCACTGGGAGCACTGGTGTCTGTTAAACAGCAGAGCAGCTCCACCCCCATCACTCTCACCCCTCTCTCTGTCTCCGTCTCTCCCTCTGTGGGCCTGCAGACATTACCTCATGTCTTTGTCCTTCTGTGCAGCTGGAGTGGGTGATGGTGGTGGTGTTGGTGGTTAAAGGGGCTGCTGCTGTGCTCAACGCCAGGAAACAACTCCGATTCAGCCACAGACGGGCACCAGTCTGTCACAGAAGCATCCATTCTCTGATCAGATTAGAGAGCTAACATACAATCTTTATATTCTCCTCTCTGTCTCCCTGATTCTGTGGCGTTCTCTACGCGTTTGCTGCCCTCTACAGGTCGGCTCTGGGACATGTTTGTTAGGTGATTATGTGACTATACTGTAGTTAAACACAATCTGTCATAGGGAGGGCTGAGCAGTCTGGAGAACAAGGGACAGAGAATGAAAAAAAAGAGAGTAACTTCTCTCTGGCAGCAGTGACGTATTCTCTCAGGTCCTGAGTAGGAAGCGCTTTAATCATCCCCGACATAAACAACCCAAACAGTGATTGGCTAGTTATTGCCCCATCAGGCAGTAACATGGCTCCCTACTGGCCAGCGTAGTGGCCGTGCGCCTGCAGGCTGCCTCCCGCCACTGCAGGAGGAGGGATGGACGAGCCCACAGGTGAGCAGAGACGCCTCTTCTCCACACATCAACAACACTGTACAATAGTAGGTCAAAGCAAAGCAGAGCCCCCTTCCTGTACTGTATGTTAGGTAGAGGATAGAGGGAGGCGAAGGGCCGACAGACACACTGCACCCCCCCCACCCCCCAATCCACCCCCCACCCCCACAACAAAAAATAAAAACTGAATAAAACTTCAACAAAAATAAAAATGAAATAAAACCAAAAATAAAACATACACATACTTTTTTGTTCCTAGTTTAAATTGCAGAGAAGATGGGAGGGATTTGCCCCTGGGAGGAACGCTCACACCAATTCCTGCTGGCGTGACAAACCCCTCCTCGCCACCCCAAACCCCCCCGAAAACCCTCCCCCCTTCCTTCCGGCTGGTTGGTTGGTGTCGTAGCGAAATATAAGGGTAGTGGAAGGTCTCTTAAGTCCTGCTGGCACCGAGGAAGGGGGCCAGGCTGTCTTTCCTTCTCTCCTCTATCTTATCTTCTATCACCCCCGGGGCTGCTGTCTCACCGCCGCCCCCGCTCATCTCTCCGTCACGTGGTTTTGTGAAGAGGGGGAGGGTGCAGAGGCAGGGGCAGAAGGGGCCGGGGTGGGCGCGGGTGGCGGGGCGGGGGTGCAGAGGATTTCGGACAGGTCGTCCATGATACAGGTCTCCTTGGGGTCGACCAGGTTGAATTCCCTTACGAAAACGATGAAATGTGCATACAGAGTGTTCAAGTGGCCCTGCAGGTCCAGAGCCACCGTCTCTTTAAAGTGCGCCCAGTAGAGGTGAGCCAGCACGTGGAACAGGTACCGGCAGATCTTCTTTACCAAGGACTCAAAGGAGTTGGGGAACTCTTTTCCTGAGGGGAGAAAAGGAAATGAAAACCAGACAGAAGACATAGATTTAGAAACAGGTATCACTTTGAGGGAGTAAGATGTTTTTAAAAAAAAAAAGATTGATGTTGTTCTAAAGTTTTCTTATCGTCAATAAATCCAATGAAAAGACTAAAACCAGCAGTGTAGTCTGACTCAATACTTTTCTGCTTGCCCTGCTTGGGACTGATTCAAAATAAACTAACGTGTGTGTCCAAGGAAATGAAGGAATGTGTCACCCAGTGCAACTGTGGTTCACTGATGTGTAAATAGTTTTTAGACAACAATGGAGGAATAGCTGAAATTCATCAATCAATAAATTAATTCATTATTATAATTATATCAGTCACTGTTCAAGCAAAAATGACAAAAACTCAAATGACTCAAATGTGAATATTTGCTGGTTTTATTTATTCTCTTTGATATTCGGAGTAACACTTTAAAAACCAAATGATTAATCAATTAATTGAGAAATTAATCAGCAAATTAATCAATAGTGAAAATAAATGTAGGAAGATGCCATATATATTATATTTCTTTTTAATATTTATTGTTGCACCACACCACTCAGTTTCACCAGCTGAGGCAGCAGGGGGCAGCAGTGCAACATCAGCTGCAGGAGTCAGTGACAGATCAGAGACCCTGCAGGTCTCTGCAGCAAACGGATTCTCACCGTATTTTGTAGGAAAGATTTCCTCATCTGTGACCAGTTTCTGACAAAGACTCATTACAAAGTCGACATATTGCGGAGCAGTGCACTTCGTCTTCTTCCCCCTCTCGTCATACCAGTAGTATATTCTAGAGAGAGACACACAAGGAAAAAATGCCAATGTTGCCACACATTACAAGATATAAGACACATTACTGACAAGCAGGATATCATTATACAACTGTGAGGTGGCTTTTAATGAATCATAATGAATGTTTTCTGATGGATGTTTGTGGCTGAGGCAGGCACAGCTCAGACATAAACAGAAATATTTCCTGGAACAGAAAAATGTCAAATCATTTTGTCTCAGGAAGAGAAAACAATACGCAGGTGACCTCCGAGACATCGCCTGCTCTATTTCCTTGTGCAGGGAAAACCCATGACCCATGGCATTTCACTTTCTGACTGACACAGATCAAAAAGGAGATGTATGATCCAGGCGACACTACAAACTATCTCATGTCTCATACAGACACATTCTTATCCAGATATCATCTTAGCATGTTTTCATATCAGTGGAATTGATGAACCCCCTGCCCTGGAGCTTTAATTTCCTGATTGGGCCAAATTCCCTGCAGTGATGGGAGTAAACGGGACACTGATCCCCCTCGGTTCTCGGGTCAGTCCCACTGCCGGTCAAATATTTCTGTAGGGGTTGACTCAGATAGCTGAATTGTAAGCGGTTGGCTTGGAGTCAAACAGCAGGTCAGCAGACACCTCAAAGATGGATGATTGAGCAGCAGGCGGATATTAGCGAGCTAAAGCGGGAGGAGATGGTGAAACAGGACTAGTGAGGTGGCCGCAGAGACAAAAGGAAGATCTCAGTGAGCTGGAAAGGTCAATTAATGAGCAGATAAAATGGTGAAAAGAAATGTTCGTGAAGGTGTAGTTTTTTTGTGTGTGAGTCAGTGGGGCAGACGTTACAAATCCTGAGGAATGTAAAAGCGTCCACATAACTGACCCTGCAGGAGGGGACCTACTGACCACAGGACCTGGACCAGACTCTTACAATGCACTTACTCACACAGGATTAGACAGTGTGTTTGTGTGTGGGAGAGACACTGGCTGAGCTAAAAAAAATATGCCTTCTGCTCTCCTCCATACCCACCCAGACATGCTGACATGATTAAACCATGGCCATATATAGTAATATACAGTACACAATACTGCCACACAAGGTGGTTTATTCATGAGAATGAATTCTTACAAATTCCTCATCTAATTTAGGCAGTTTTTGGCAACTCAATATTAAAAAACTAAAACTTGTTTAGTGTTTAGTTTCCTCCAGGTTTTTACAATTGGATGAATTGAGTTCATATCTGTCTTGTTGTAGTTTTTAAAATAAGTAACAGTGTTCTCTATTTTCTTTAAAGTCATTTATCATGTAATTTTCTCTTCCTTCTGTAATCTCCTGGATATGTTTTATTTGGAGGGTGGGCTGTTGGTGGTGTGGGTGGTTATGAAATGTGACCATGGTGAGTGTATGTACATGTGATATGTATGACCATATGATATCTGGCTGCATCGGCGCAGTGCGTTTAAAGGATGTGGCAAAACCAATAAAAATCTGTTTGCTATTAAGACAAATGAATACTTAATGTTGTTCACTGCTCTTTGTTTATTAAGAAATAAAAGATGTGACATCAGATTTGTGAATGAAGCTTAATTTGCTCATGAATTTTACCAACCAAATCCAAGATGGAACTAGCTATCTGAACCCAACGCTAATTAAGAGTGTAAGCGCATTATCCTCTCTCTCTCTTTCTCTCCGTGTCTCTCACTCTCACTCTCTCACACTCATACTCACACA